TATATATATATCATATTCTCGATTCATAAATAGTAACAAATAACATTTTGTAAGTAACTAATCAAGTGTCGTAAAACATTTTCCGATTTTATTGCGACCTATATCCGGCGCACGCACTCAACGGAAGTCTGCAGTAATCAGGTCAGAGTTACATTTGAAGTCCGGCATGTTGTTGATGTTGATCGTGCAACCGGAGAAGGTTGAATTGGTGAAAAATCCAGGCATACAATTGTCTGTTGATCACACAGACACTTGAGACAGGCAGCTGGTGTTAGGGATCAAAGCAGAAGATACTGATAAGTTCGGTAGTGACACTGTTAAGTCGCTCGGAGGTGCAAAGACCAACTTCAGTTATAGTCTCATAAGATGAAGCTGCTATTGGCAGTACTTTAGTAGTAATATAGAAGGGCTTTGCCACACCAAATGTAAATGTTTGGAGATAAAAGCAGCTCGTATAACCTTGGGAGATCATTGATACTAGCTCAAATTAATAATTTATCGCAGATCATGAAAGCCATGGAAGATAATTGAAAGTAGCTCATGGAAGCTTGTAACCTTCAGAGATAGTAGCTCATAGACCGTCTGAAGACAATTGATCGTAGCTCATTAAACAGTTGGAGAAAATCAATAATAGCGCACTGACACGATTTTCTGTGTGGGAAAATTAAATGAACTCATTAAACCTTGACATTAGCGCATTGAACCTTGACATTATTGCATTGAACCTTGACAGTAGCGCATTGAACCTTGGTACTTGACTGGGAAAAACGAAGCGAACTCCAGAATATCATTGAAAATGACTCACTGAATCTTCGTTTAACATTGAACCCTGAGAAAGACGTAATTGTTAAATGTAATTGCATTCTTGTATCGTGTAGTTTGACACGTTTTTATCAGTGGAAGTTAGTATGTGATATATCAGAGCTCACCGATTAACAAGGAGGGCGTACAGGAATGCACCAGGGAGCTCCACTAATCCATTGAGGAAAAAGTTAAGATGGCGATTCCCGGTAAGAGATGAAGACGTCAGATATAAACCAAAATACGTCAGACTATTCGTACACCTGTTAAATTGATAAAGACACATAGCAAGGGACATAACTCGTTCATTATTTTCAAATAACTAATTTCTGTTACATTTCTTAACACTTAGTGCTTTTTATTTCCATATATATATGCTTTTTTTCCATTTTCATTTTGGTTTCAATAAAAAGTGTCAATCAGCTCCGGATTGTGTTTGTCACACACTATCTGTTTAGATAATGAGTTACCAAATAAGTTATTTACTACTCATACTATTCTAATTAAATAAAGAAAGATTGCATTGTAATTGAACTCAAATATTATTGTATACACATACATATATATTATTATCTAAAGTCATCAAGTCAACTGTTTTAATTGAATCATCACTTACCAAACAAACCATAGTATCAAGGAATGTTTCAGTAGCAGCCTGTGTCGGAATAAGTCTATAACGTTAGTTTTATCTGAACTATCAGACATCCTCGTTGCGATGGTGTACGTATCATCCTGGGTATCGTCGGAAACGTCTTGTAGAGGTGACACCACGTGACCATTTAATGGTTGCAGTCCTTCTGATCGGCTGTTACACGACACACGATTCCCCGGCTCATGACCATCAGAAAGCAATAGCATCACCTCCGCCACTTGCGCTTTGCTGACCTTGTTGATCCTCGCTACCCTCTGAATCACTTTCATAGCCTCGTCTTTTCGGTTGTTTGCAATAAGCCATCTTAAAGATTCGTCAACAATCCTAGAAATTAGGAAAAAAGATGAACAACTTGAAAAGTACTCATTGTTTCAGTTAACATGTATACAAATATGATTACTTTAACCAAGCTGGACATGGGTCTCCTGCCAAACAGAGTTATAACCAGGTCCTTATTCATAGCTTATCAAACTGTTTATGTAATTTCTGTAAAAGACCTGTAGCTTTGAAGCGTTATCTAGAGAGACATATTTAACGGAGCATGTTGCCTTATCTTATCGACTATTCTTATGAAGACGTCAGGCTGAGAGCTCTTTATGGAAGACAGGGGGTAAAAGTGTGGCGGGTTATATCATTATGCCGGTATAAGACGCATAACTACACTCATTTTATTTATTATTGGGTTGTTGGAATTTTAAAATAAAATGCATGGTGTGGTAAAACCCGATTAAAAAAAAAACTTCTTAACGGCAACTTCGCAAGAGAAGTACATGTAAATCAATTCAAACATAGAATTCATATTGGAGTTTGGCAAAGCATATTTCTTTTATCATAGTAACAAGGGCATTCAAAGAAAAAGCGCTAGGCATTCTCGTATGGATTTCCACATTTACAACCTTGCCTTTCAAGCATTCTAGACCGATCAAAGTGTACAGGACTACACTGATTTGTAGTTTTGTAAGTAGAATATTTAGATTTCTCTCACAAAATTTATAGCAAATGGATGACCTGATTGCAAACCAGAGATTTGAAGCGACAAGGATATCACTAAATTCTTGGAAGCTTTTCATAGGCTTATTTATATATGGTTTCTGTACTATGGACAGTTGACTTATTTGTAGATGGTTTCTGTAATAAAGACAGTTGACTTATTTGTAGAGTGTTTTTGTACTATAGACAGTCGACTTATCTGTAGAGTGTTTCTGTACTATGTACAGTTGACTTATTTTTAGATGGTTTCTGTACTATAGACAGTCGACTTATCTGTAGATGATTTCTGTACTATAGACAGTTGACTTATTTGTAGAGTGTTTTTGTACTATGTACAGTTGACTTCTTTTTAGATGATTTCTGTACTATAGACAGTTGACTTATTTGTAGATGATTTCTGTACTATAGACAGTTGACTTATTTGTAGATGATTTCTGTACTATAGACAGTAGACTTATCTGTAGATGATTTCTGTACTATAGACAGTCGACTTATCTGTAGAGTGTTTCTGTACTATGTACAGTTGACTTATTTGTCAATGATTTCTGTACTATAGACAGTCGACTTATTTGTAGATGATTTCTGTACTATAGACAGTTGACTTATTTGTAGATGATTTCTGTACTATAGACAGTTGACTTATTTGTAGATGATTTCTGTACTATAGACAGTAGACTTATTTGTAGATGATTTCTGTACTATAGACAGTCGACTTATCTGTAGAGTGTTTCTGTACTATGTACAGTTGACTTATTTGTCAATGATTTCTGTACTATAGACAGTCGACTTATTTGTAGATGATTTCTGTACTATAGACAGTTGACTTATTTCTAGATGATTTCTGTACTATAGACAGTTGACTTATTTGTAGATGATTTCTGTACTATAGACAGTAGACTTATTTGTAGATGATTTCTGTACTATAGACAGTCGACTTATCTGTAGAGTGTTTCTGTACTATGTACAGTTGACTTATTTGTCAATGATTTCTGTACTATAGACAGTCGACTTATTTGTAGATGATTTCTGTACTATAGACAGTTGACTTATTTGTAGATGATTTCTGTACTATAGACAGTCGACTTATTTGTAGATGATTTCTGTACTATAGACAGTCGACTTATTTGTAGATGATTTCTGTACTATAGACAGTTGACTTATTTGTAGATGATTTCTGTACTATAGACAGTCGACTTATTTGTAGATGATTTCTGTACTATAGACAGTTGACTTATTTGTAGATGATTTCTGTACTATAGACAGTTGACTTATTTGTAGATGATTTCTGTACTATAGACAGTAGACTTATTTGTAGATGATTTCTGTACTATAGACAGTCGACTTATCTGTAGAGTGTTTCTGTACTATGTACAGTTGACTTATTTGTCAATGATTTCTGTACTATAGACAGTCGACTTATTTGTAGATGATTTCTGTACTATAGACAGTTGACTTATTTGTAGATGATTTCTGTACTATAGACAGTCGACTTATTTGTAGATGATTTCTGTACTATAGACAGTCGACTTATTTGTAGATGATTTCTGTACTATAGACAGTTGACTTATTTGTAGATGATTTCTGTACTATAGACAGTCGACTTATTTGTAGATGATTTCTGTACTATAGACAGTCGACTTATCTGTAGATGATTTCTGTACTATAGACAGTTGACTTATTTGTAGATGATTTCTGTACTATAGACAGTTGACTTATTTGTAGATGATTTCTGTACTATAGACAGTAGACTTATTTGTAGATGATTTCTGTACTATAGACAGTCGACTTATCTGTAGAGTGTTTCTGTACTATGTACAGTTGACTTATTTGTCAATGATTTCTGTACTATAGACAGTCGACTTATTTGTAGATGATTTCTGTACTATAGACAGTTGACTTATTTGTAGATGATTTCTGTACTATAGACAGTTGACTTATTTGTAGATGATTTCTGTACTTTAGACAGTAGACTTATTTGTAGAGTGTTTCTGTACTATAGACAGTCGACTTATCTGTAGAGTGTTTCTGTACTATGTACAGTTGACTTGTTTGTCAATGATTTCTGCATTATAGACAGTCGACTTATTTGTAGATGATTTCTGTACTATAGACAGTAGACTTATTTGTAAAGTGTTTCTGTACTATAGACAGTCGACTTATTTGTAGATGATTTCTGTACTATAGACAGTAGACTTAATGTCTACTTACCAACAAATGGGGTATTTGCTAAATACTGTCTCCTCGCCTGTATAACGTGACGTATTTGCTACATACTGTCTCCTCCCCTGTATAACGTGACGTAATTGTTACATACTGCCACTTACCAATATGATGCCAGGGCATGAAACGATGCAAGTGCCGTTACAAGTTGGATGTACCGCCATGAGAGGTTCCGCATGAAATATCCTATACCTGCTAATATAACTACAAACGCCGTCCATGCGAATTGCCCAAGAGCGCCAACTGCGCCTCTGTGCTCTTGAGGTACTATTTCCAGAGTCATGATGGACATCGCTAAACCCATTCCCTGTATAAATCAACGGAATAAATGCACGGAAGCTTCATGTAATGTAACGGACATGTAACTGTCTAGCAGGAATATTATTAAACATATTATGAAGTGACGTCACTAGACACCAGTTGTTATCTAGCAGGAATATTGGTAAACATATTATGAAGTGACGTCACTAGACACCAGTTGTTGTCTAGCAGGAATAATAGTAAACATATTATGAAGTGATGTCACCAGACACATGTTGTTGTCTAGCAGGAATAATAGTAAACATGTTTTAAAGTGACGTCACTAGACACATGTTGTTGTCTAGCAGGAATATTATTAAACATATTAGGAAGTGACGTCACTAGACACATGTTGTTGATTAGCAGGAATATTATTAAACATATAATGAAGTGACGTCGCTAGACACATGTTGTTGTCTAGCAGAAATAATAGTAAACATGTTATGAAGTGACATCACTAGACACATGTTGTTGTCTAGCAGAAATAATAGTAAACATGTTATGAAGTGACATCACTAGACACATGTTGTTGTCTAGCAGAAATAATAGTAAACATGTTATAAAGTGACGTCACTAGACACCAGTTGTTTTCTAGTGGAATAATGCTAAATTATGAAGTGACGTCACTAGACACCAGTGGTTGTCTAGTTGGAATAATGCTAAATTATGAAGGGACGTTCTAATAGTAAACATCTAATGAAGGGACGTCAGTTAGTATAGGTTTTTGTTTAACAGGAACACGGAAGTGTATTATTAAGAGATGTCACTAGATGGCAGCTGTACACACTCATTCACATCACAGGTACTTGCTCGTCTATGCCTACTGTCCCCAACCCCTGCTAAATCCATTTTTACAAATTGAATGTCAACGATGACATAATTGAAGTCAGTAAGATATTTCATTGATACATGTACAGTCACTGGACATAAGTATTAGTCGTTTTGAGAGTGTTGCGTCTTTCCTATTTGCATATCGGGTTCGTTTTGTCTGTGCTCTATATATAGAAACAGGAAATACCCTAAACCCTTTCTCTGAAACTATAGCATCATATGACGTATTCGTGACGTCATTCAACATGGAGGAAAAGGACATTGTTTGGCAAGCTTCAACACACACAAATTGCAAAGCAAAATTGGGAAGCGTGAGAAGCTGCTTATTCACGGTCAGTGACAGTACTGTCATTGTTCGACTTGTGAAACAAAACAGAAAATCTAATTTAATGGACATTTGACAGAATATTGGGGTCAGTTTTTTCTCTTATCACCTTAAGATGCGAGTTTAAATCTACTTCTAAAAATATAACGATGCGACGCCATCTTTGAAACGACGAATACATATGTGCCGTGACTAAATATTGACCCTGTTTTAAAGCTTCTTATCGAGTGAAACAAGCGCTTCGTTTCTTCAAGAGTATCTCGGACCTCAAAAAGTCATAGTGGACCAAATGAATGACTTTTACATTTGGATCATCTGGAGCATAATATAATAAGTTAAATTCGTTTTTAAATTTAATTCTACTCCAGCACGTGCTCGCGATGATAAAATGACATAAACCTTTACTACAGATAAGGACAGCAATCATCTGTAAATTAATACAATATTAAATCATGTATTTTGTTTAGGGATACTGACATCTAGTAAAGTTTTGATACGTATCTTGTTGACCTTTATGATTGCATTCACACAGTTCTATTCTAGCAAAGAGGGGAATATGTTTTAACAAATTGTGTTGCATGACATCATACATGTTCAAAGGATGCAGGTCAATACATGTAGCTATATTAACGTTGAAAACAAGAAAGATGGTATAATTTTATCTTTCTTTGAGGTCTTATTCGGTTTAAAATAAATTTCAATAAACTATTTTAATTAGTAGCAGAACGTCAATTTTTGCGGGAACACTATCGTACTTTCTATGGTTGTATCAGTTCCATTAGCGGCGTATAAGAAATTAATATCTGTCCTAGTTTGAATCTAATGTTGACTCGTGAATTGTTTGATTACTCAAACAGTTTGACGGTCAGACCTGAGTAATTTAGCGATGGAAAAATATACAAGTGTAATGTCCAATTATTTGATTTGAATAACTATGTTAGGTGTTAGATTTATGTAAAAACTGCTCAACTGTAAATATACCTACTTGTTGTAATGCACCAATGACGAATCTCATGATCGCAAACACGACAAAGGTTGGGACGAACGTGAGCGAGAGACTCATAATGAACAGCAGGAGGTGCGTGCTCACAAACACTGGCTTCCGGCCATAGCGGTCGGCAAGGGAGGTAAATAGAGTTGCCCCGACGATCTGACCAGCCATAACAAGAGTCTGGCCGAGTTCTCCAACTCCCGATTGGTCACACACAAGGTTCCACTGTAACAAGGAAGAGACTCCTGTTATGTTTAAAGGGATTGTCTGCCTTCATCACGTTTAGGAGTAGGCATATTACCTGTTTTCAAGAGTATGACCACTAATTTTGATTTTTGGCGATTGTGGTATACTGCGTAGACACTAATGATGTTCTATTTTAAGCTTTCCGAACATATCACGGAATAAAATCCATTAAATCCACTACACAAAATGTTTTCTTCTGATATACGTCAACCTTCGAACAATAAGGTCAAGGTTACAATAAGTTTACGTTCACCTGTCCTGAAGGACACGTGAGCTAAGATGCAGACCAAAAGGATAACTATTGTTCGAAGGTTGACGTATATCAGAAGAAAACATTTTGTGTAGTGGATTTAATGGATCAGAAGGACTTTGTTAGTGTGTAGAGAACCAAGTAAATCACAAGTACCGCATTTCGTTCAGTGGATCAAGTGGATCATTTATTTATTTGTAATTACATTCTTTCCTTGCGACGTTATGTCAAACAAAGGCACCGCAAATCGGTACATAATACTTCACATGTTGAATGACCAGTTGAAACAACTGGTCATTCAACATGTGACGTATTATGGTTGAAATATGAAATATTTCTAAGTAATTAACGGTAAAGGAGAAATAATTTTTCAAACATGATATATCAATAAGTTTACATCTTGGAATGCATGTTACCGTCGGATATTAGTGGTTATCGACATTTTCTGAGCTGTATGGTAATAAACCTTCCTATGAAGTATGAATTTAATTTGTTGAAAATTAATGAAGCTATCGAGCTGACACTGTTTCGGAAAGTGGATAAAGGGCCCCAACTCTGTAGGTTACCGTCGGATATTTATGGTTATCGAACTTGTCCGACCTGTTATACATGTAGTTACAAACCTTCCTATGAAGTTTAAATTGAATCTGATGAAAATTAATGAAGATATCGAGCGCACACGCCCTCCCGCCAACTTGATAACATAACTTTCGACGGGCGTATAAATGAATCAAAGAACGGAATAATACAAGATAGAGTATTACTTCTAAAACATCGTTTGACCTAAATACATACTAGCGGAATAGCAGAATCTATATATAGGTAAAAAGTTATATAACACAAAACTTCAAAACGTTCAGAATTGTAGACGACAAACTTCATCAAAGATTAATTTATTCAAATTGCAAAAGACGGTCACTTCAGCGCGAGGGATCAACAAACACGAAGTGTATCTGAGCTAGTCCACAATGTCAAAATCGGGTATGTCCACCGTTAGCAGTATTGAGCAGTATTGAGCAGTACTGCACGCATTACACCGACGCCACAGGGATCCGACAGGATTGTTGAAAATACCTGAGGAAAAGCCTTCCAGGTGGGACCTAACGAGAAAGCTTAGCTTATATGACAGGCTGCTTTGGCACTTGACGTAGGCGATATTGCATCTCTTTCCATACCTGTTCGACTGGCGAAATGTCAGATGATACCGCAGGTCATGGCAAGTACAATTTGTGGTCGCGTTGTCATGATGTAGCGTATCGTGATGCTGTTACGCGAAAAGGATCAGACAGGAACTCACCGCGGTAGCGCACACAGCTACAATATCAATTAATGATCACCAGAGGTGTTCTCGCATTCGCTGTTTTGTCGTCCCAGTTCATCATACTACCTTCGCCGTGCGGATGATGTTACACGACATAAATATCCTGAAAACTTTCTCCAACTTTCTCACTACCGTCCAAGTGGAACCGAGATTTGTCCGAAAACAAGATACGAGCCCGTTCCCTTCTAGAAAACCGGAGATGTCTCCTTCACTAAGGAAAACGTGCAACACGATGACGTCGATCCTAACGGGTCGGATAGCTGGACGTCGTGGACAAATGTGCCGTTCACGTAGGCGGTGCCTCACAGTTCTTCTACTGCATGATTCTACGTGATCCAGAATTTGTCGTCAAAGCTGCAGTTTGGAAGCAGTTCCGCAAGTGAGCTATCTGCTATAATTATCTTGACGTAACGTCGTCACACCAGTGCGTCCTGATCTGGGCGGATAAGGTGTAACCAGACTGCTAAAGTCTTATATATATAAGGCATGAATAGTCCTGATCAGGGCGGATTAGGTGTTACTAGACTGCTAAAGACATATATATATAAGGCATGAATAGTGTTTTGATTTACACTAGCATTTCCTAGCAACAATTTGGGCTTAACCTTGATCAGTCTAACCGCTAGGTTGGGGATATTTTCACTCAGTCTAGGCATAGCTTACCAAATACGATTTCTAGGAATAAAGGAATCAAAAAACCAGTAACAAAGTCAATAAAGACTGTCAGACCTACTTGCTAGCAACGAAAAGTGTGCACGTGGACAAGGACAAAAGACTGCACCGGCACAAAATGCATTCATGCGTTCACGTTAATTGTATAACGTTTCATGTTGAAAAATTAATGACAAGTTTGTTTTATTTGTTGGTACTCACAATTTGTTTTCCTCAATTATTTATAAAACAGCAGATATCATTTACGTTTATAACAAAGACACTTTTAAACAATTAATTATCACGCTAATACTTGGTTTCCTCCAAACTGAGAACTGACTCATATTTTTCTAAATGTTGTTGTTCCTTCCTGAAAAATCTAAAAATAAAATAAAGAAATCCATTAATATCCGCTTTCCGTGACGTTAGCGGGACCTCCCTCTTTCGAGGAATTCTTTTTCTTTTCAGGCATTGCTAGAGTCTATATATCACAATTAGAACACTCTAACATTCGTTGATATTCAATATCAGAGTTTCGTCTCGAGGAAATGTAAAGTGAAGCTAGAAGGGCCTCCTCTATTGTGAATGTATGGTATTGTCTTTACAATGTCATGATGACGTCATCACCAGGGATACTGTTTCTGTTTCAGGTAATTAGTAACTGTTGGGTTTGGTACTGTGCGTACACCCATTCTAGATAAGAATGGTATGAGAGGGGGTTCCGTTCCTATTTTTTCAGCAATCACTCTTCAATAAAATAAAGTCACCATACACTTTCAAACGTTGTTTGAAGGCAATGATTTAAATTTAGATACGTAACAACAATATATCCACACCTGTATTTGTGTTTTTAAAATGTGGCACAGCAATGTAAGCTAAGTATGGTGAAATTAGGCATCGATGCTGACGACTGCATTAAAATAGTTCGCTGAACTTATAGCATGTTGATCTGGTTTGAAACAGAACTTAACTTTTACAAAATTCTAAAGTATAGTACATGTACACATTACCAAAAGTCCATTAACTTGAGTGTAAACCTGTGATGGCAATCCATTTGTACGTACAAAGGTAAAAGCAATCAAACATAGTTAACTGATTGACACTATTATGGAGGAGCAGGATACATATCCTTCAACAGGGTTAAAACAATAAATGACAGCTAAAACTACATACATTTACAACTCTAACCGAAATGTGATCTTGGTTTTAACTACTTTTCGAAAAAAATATGAAGCAGAACTTTCCGTTATTTTGCGTGTTCTTGTGATAGTGAGGCATATTAAAGTGGAGTCAGCCCCTACTTCAATTTATTTTAATGTTTCGCCACATGAAGAAACAGAAAAGTAATAAATGCCTATATGATTATTCATTATTACTACTGATAACCGTAGTGGACCTCCTTGCTCGACACCAGGTTGAATGATGGGGGTATCCTAACAAAATATCAGATAAGCGTAACAGGCGAATGAATAGTGTATACAATTACTGGGTTTCTATATTAATATGTCATAGCGTAGTGATACTTTTGATAGGAAAAACATGCAAAATTTTCACTGAATTCAAAATACAACCAACCTTGTCAATTTCCCTATATACATTCATATAGTTGAAGTGGTATTCGATATTTTATACTTCTTTAAAAACCTTCCATATAATTATTCTGTCTTCATAACCATTTGTATGTAATATCAAAACCGGTATAATACTGTGCACGCATGCCAAATAAGACCAATGCACAATTTCACATGATCATCAAGATTTGATTATCAACATTCATTATGGTTAATACCGATGCATGTTCTTCTTTTGTATCATATACCAAAACACTTGAAATAGTGTGATATTTGGTGTCAAAATAATAAGTGGAATATGTTGCACACGATGATGATATCATTTTATGACGCAATTTTGTATTCCTAAATGTCTATAAATATTAGTGTAATTTCAACAACCCACACCTGATACGTACTGCTTGTACGTATAAGTCGAGATTAGTTATCCTATTTTTCTGGATTGTATATATGTGGTAGCTATTCCAAACGCATTTCATGTCCTGCGTTAACTTTTTTGAGACCCCGTCCCCGCGCCCTGTACAGCTTAATGTTACCTCTGAAATAATGGTCGTTCCTTCTGTTTTGTCGAAGAAATATCCTTCTTTGCAGGAGAGGGTCGACGTGCCTAGCAGTGTACCATTGGTTGTGTTTGTCACCACTGAAATCTCACACTTTCCGTAAGTGACCTCGTATGAGGTACGGTTCTCTCCCGCGTCAGGTAGTCCGTATGTTGACAAAGGCTCATGCAAAGGGTTGCATTTGAAATCCGGGACATGTCCTGCGAAATGAGGTGAAAATGATGGTCTGTAACTGTTCAATGATAAGAAAAATATATCAAACAGAAATACAGTGCAATGGGAAGCTTGTCTGAACCGAACGTTTCCCGGACCATTCAAACTTCTCTTCGAGAAGGATACGTGCACATAATGGAATGCATTTGTTCCGATTTCCGGGTAACTTACCATAAAGTACAACATTTAAATCCACTCATGCGAACTGGAAACTAGTCACTGATAGATATACAGTCAAACCTGCTTGAGCGGTCACCTAAAATAAGCAGCCACCTGTCTAATGCGGCCAGCGGTCACAAAACTCCGGCCTGAGACGTTATCTCCACCTGTATTCAGCGGTCATTTTGTCCAGAAATATTGACATCAAGAAGATCACAATATATTAACACAAATTAAAAACCACTGGTAAGGTTTGGCACGTTGAATTGACAAGTTCTTTACACAGCGATTTTCAGCTTGCAAATTGGGGCAGGTCCTACCGACCCATCAACAATGTTTTACAAAGTTCTAGATTTATTGAGTGATTTATTTATAAGTGATGAATTAACTTAATACTGATATATCATTTCATTAGAAAATTATTTGAACCACATACATGTAGATCAGAATACATCGCAATGCAGATTTTCATTTAAAGTAGATCTACATGTAGATTTCAGTACTGGTGGTTGTCTGCTAGCGCAAAACGTATATGGAACACGTGTGTAGCCAAACAAAAATAAATTCATCATTTCAAGAAATTAATCACCAAAACGCCTTTGTATTTTATTGATTATGCATGTATATTCAAGTATGAAATCGTACCCCTGTTGATGATGGCAGAAAAAATCCAAATAACATAGCATCCTATATTTCCGGGAAAATTTCATTATAACCCATGGATGTATGAAAACTTGATTGTGGTTTTCGGGTGAGCCTGGATTTAGCAGCCACCTGTCTTAAGGATGTACACCTCTGAGAAGTCAAAACATTCCTCTAATACACTTTTTTTCTGATATGGATTTTCGGAAAAAGGAGTTAATGGCATAGTAGAAAATGCAAAATAAATTATATGATCGGTCAAAGATACCAATCTAACACAATATGTGATTTTAGGTGATTTGTTTGGTTTTGGCCTTTTGCAGAACAAATTCATACAATTTCTTCCAAGTGTGTTATCAGACATGTATGAATGTTTGTAGAATTGATAACAATATTATCTTCTTTTAAATTATGTAAATAAAATTTCTAAATCTTCTTCTTTTAACTCCAAAACTAGCGACACACTGACAACTTAAGTGATCATTCTAGTGTCAAAAAAAGGTGATTTTTGGCCTGTTGTGAAGCGCAAGAAATACACAATAATACACATTTTTAAAATGACCGCCGAATTGGTCATTTTTTAAATTCTTGTAAAACAAGTTCTACAAACAACAGGCATCTAGTTTTTTGACATATTTTTTTCAGACGTTTGTTTGCTATTAAACTTGATGATAATTTGTTAAATATTACAAAAACCCGTTACACCAGATCAAAACGAGACTTGAACGTGATTTAAACTTCAGAAGAGTACATCCTTAAGTGGCCAATTTCTGCCGGTCCCTTTGGTGGCCTTTTAATACAGGTTTGACTGTACTATGATAAGTAATTGGTATGTACCAAAATATCGAAGACTGTGCAGCACAGCGTCCACGTTGAGATGTTCACCCATCGCTTACGATGTTAAACTACAGTGTTGACGGGAGCGGAGTGGTCAGGTGTTGAGAGTAACTACAGTGTTGACGGGAGCGGAGTGGTCAGGTGTTGAGAGTAACTATTTGAGATCTCAGTCTTGTTTACATTAAGAGTTACAACACAACAGGAAGTTTAATTCGGCAAAAGCAACCAAATTACATTACTACCAACAATAACAGGATAGATAATTGAGTAGAAAAAGTCCCAGGGAATTTTCGTGTCAATAAAATTATCACGTTTACTGCTTACCAGGTGTAAGCAAGCGAACAATACAGAGTAAAGATTTATAAACCATTTCTCCTACATTTTCAAGGAGATGATTCGTAGGCTGTTGACTTTGTACAACTTTACAAGCTTGTGACTAATTATCAAAACTTACCATACAAAACGAAGTTTAATACAACAGCGGCGATTTGAAACATGACCATAAAGAGTAAGTACGCTATCTGACATCTTTGGTAATTTCCGAGTGGCCGCAAGCTATTCCAGATCGTGTCCACATGGAGAGGTGTATCCATCTTAGATTTAGATGTTAAATAATCGACGTTCTTTAATCAAATGACTTGAAACCCTATAGAGCGATTGTTGACCGTGTTTTCTCTGATAAACGAGTTTAATATATTCATTCCGACTTTCGTATTGGCGAGTTACGTGTTCCTACATACACTCGTCACATACACGTATGTACGTGAATGAATTAAATAATATAGACATTGTATGTACTATAAAATCATAAATTTTCGTGGGACATTAAATTTCGTTTATTTCGGGGATAACAAATATCCACGAAATTAAATCCCCACGAAAACATAAATTTGGTATGATATAAAAAAGGGGGAAATCAGAAATCATCGATATATAATGTCATTGAAACAGGCAAGTATATGAAAACGACGAAAGCTTAACCCCACGAAAATGAATGATTTTACAGTATATTTCTTATACCATGTCAAGCAAAACAGTCGGATTTATTACCTATTACTTTCAAAACTTATTTAAAATCGTTAAGCAGGACCAACGTTTATTTTTTATACTTTCCTGTTTCATATACATAATATTTATACATGATTAAAATGAAGTATTTTCTACGGAAGCGTATAGTTGCCATTATATATAGACTTATTAATATACATCACAACAAAAAGTATTTCGAGATACAAACAAGTTTCCTGTTATGTCAGGTAATATATCTTGAGATAATAAATTGAAGTGACTATGTCAACTTATGTTAATTCAATAAATGAGCGAAATACTATGGAACACGATATACTGGATATTGAGATAAGATATATGTAACTATATTTATCCTGTGTTAATGATTTTTCACATATGTCGACATACAGTATATCGAGTTATTGTTATTAACATGATATATCGACATACACTATATCGAGTTACTGTTATTAACATGATATATCGACATACAGTATATCGAGTTATTGTTATTAACATGATATCTCGACATACAATATATTGAGTTATTATTATTAACATGATATATCGACATATAATATATCGAGTTATTGTTATTAACTTGATATCTCGACATACAGTATATTGAGTTATTGTTATTAACATGATATCTCGACATACAGTATATTGAGTTATTGTTATTAACATGATATATCGACATACAGTATATTGAGTTATTGTTATTAACATGATATCTCGACATACAGTATATTGAGTTATTGTTATTAACATGATATCTCGACATACAGTATATTGAGTTATTGGTATTAACATGATATCTCGACATACAGTATATTGAGTTATTGTTATTAACTTGATATCTCGACATACAATATATTGAGTTATTGTTATTAACATGATATATCGACATACACTACATCGAGTAACTGTTATTAACATGATATATCGACATACAGTATATTGAGTTATTGTTATCAACATGATATTTCGACATACCATATATCGAGTTATTGGTATTAAATTGATATCTCGACATACAGTATATTGAGTTATTATTATTAACATGATATATCGACATACAATATGTCGAGTTACTGTTATGTTATTAACATGATATATTTACATTTGCATGGCATTGTCACTATATAGCCTCTTTGAAAGCTGTGTCTTTAATGGGACTTTAATTACCATGCAGCACGAGACACAATTCTTAGCGTATTTATCCAATGTAAATAAACATGACGGCTGCTGAAATATCGCTGGGCATCGTGAGACTTGACAATGTCATTGTAAATTAATGTGCAAAAGAAAACAGAAAAAAAGATAAACTTTCATTACAACAAAAACAAAACCAATGTCTGCAATATCGTACAAAATGCACATCGGTTGAAATCACCTATGCCGGCAATGAAAACAATTTTATCGCTCATGCAATTTATCAGAAATAAAGTCTGTTACACTGCACTGACTAACAGGGGTCGTTACAAATGTCTGAAATACACAAATTCTATAGACCTACTGACACATATGTTACAGACCTACTGATATGAGTCACAGCACAAATAAATATTTCAGACATTTGTAACGAACCCCTGGGCTCCGTCGCAAAATCACTCACTTCAAACGCTATCAGTTTCACGGGTCTCGCAGCCACGGTTTCCTCAGTTTCTGACGACATGTCAAATAACAAGGCTGTTGTAGAATCTACCGACTGTAGTCAGATTCCTATACAACAACAAATAAATTCACGTCTGGATTCTTCACAAAATGAGCAAGGAAAAGTTCGAATTGACTTCCAAAAATAACTCCCTCGGGGAGGGCAAGGTCGCATTTATGGTGTTCACTGCATTTATCCACGAGAGATTTGTTCCGGGGGAAAATCGAAACAATTTCAAATCTAACTTTTAGCTCAGAGTTCTATTGATAAACTTAAATTAACCTAGATACTGAATTGTGGAATAAAATTGAGGGTTTGTTAAAATTTTAAAGTACTACTTTGTTTGCCAATCAGCACGCGACAACACGCTGTTCCAACTATATAACGAATTTGTGTGAACTGTCGATAAGGCGGGAATTTTAAATTTTAGATATAAAATGTTAGTTAAAAACGAATATAAGAGGCAGAGAAAACGTAATTATCAGTATTGAACGGTTTTTGTATGGTATTTATTATCTAGCGCGCATTATGTTGTTTGCTTGCAAAGCTGTGTCATTCAAATAGATAATAAATACCATACAAAAACAGTTCAATGCGTAAATGTAATACCGGTGTTATCTAATGACAGATGTCATGATTAAGATAACGTTATATACACCACTTTGATACCAAATGAGGGTGTTAGCTTAGGGAAGCTATGGGCACGTCATCGGTTTGGTTTAGTATTGTTTAACGTCCTATCAACAGCTATGGTCATTAAGGACGGCCTCCCCTGTGTGCAAGATGCATGCGTGTATAGTGTATGCGTGTGTGTTTTTGTAGGCTCCGATATGTTGGTGTTTGTTTTCTTGTGATAGCGCGGAACTGAAACGGTAGAAAACGGCCATCGTAGAATACAAATGTTGTATCGGCCGACGCTGTTAGGTCGACATGACCAAAGAACTAATTGTGGGTGCAACTGACCACTTCATATACGTATCTTGTCATGACTGCGGAGAATGACCAGTATGTATCTTATCATAACTATGGACAAAACTGACTAGTATATCTGACTGTATTTAGTAGGGACGAAGCTGACCAGATAATACATTCTACGCTATATACAGTATACAGAATATCTGAACGCTTTGTGATATTTAACAAAATATTAACATAGACAAATTTCCTTGGGTTTTGAACACTTTAAAATTGACGTAATTAGTCTGAAAATTAATTTAAGAAAACTTTAAACATGATAGCGTAAATTTCTGGGATTTTTCTAAAATGTACCAGATACATTTTTGGTCAAGAGTCCGGAGTCTAACCACCTTACAATACAAGTACATTTATATATTATTAAATACGAACGATACAGGTAAAGTATCTGACGTCACTAATTTCCATTTATACTTATGGTCAGTACCCACAAGGTAGGCTATTAAACTAAAATATCATTTCACGAAATAGAATGGACTGGCTTTTGAGTTTTCCTTCAACAACAGACTCAATCAATATTCTAGTAGAAATTCAAAACTCAGCACATGTCTAAATTAAAATTACTTATACATCATCACTATGCTTTCCTCATACACCTGGGCATACACTCGGTCCCGCTAAGTATTTTTACCAAAACTTGCATTTTACAATCTACACAATTATACGTTACGTGATTTTGTTTGATCGAGATAACTCATGTGTTTTAATACTCGACAGGTAAAGTTGTGTGCGTCGTCTATGAGTCTATACTAGCCGAATGATGCACGTTCGACTCTTTATCATGAACTACAACCTGCAGCCAGCTGCACCACCTACGCGCATCATGAGATATGTTTAAACGGAACTGTGTTGCATACCCTCATAAATGTTAAAAAGATGCATTTCAAACGTTAATTAAACTCATTGTTCCATTTTTTTTATTTTTTTATTTGCTATTACCACGCATTGTACGTCCATAATATATGTTTAAAATTTAAAGTAGTTCTCAATGTGTTCAACTTCCGGTATAATATTGTGTGGTGTATTTTGGGGAGAGTTATCACCCTTATACCGTTAACCGCGACGACAACATCGATGTGACATCTCGGCGCGGTCTCTTAACATCCTGACAATCAACTGATAATTCTGATAGATTTTGGGACCCGAGAGCAGTTCTCATCTACATGTTGTGACGGTGTGTGAAACACATTCCAAATTCACGACATTTGGTGTCAGCACTTCGTCGAACCGACGCTATTTCTGACTTATTTTGTCAATTTGTTTACTTGTATTTGTTTGCACAGCTTGCTGGCTCCCTCTCGCTCGCCACGTGCGCTGGCCTACGTGACCAGTGCGCGAATTACGATTGAGAGAATTTGGGACAGTTCTTATAACTGTTATTTATTTCAATATTAGGGGTAATTCAGAGTCGGGGGTTCGCTGCCGTTCTGATATTCATATTTAATTTGATTAAGGTTAGTTGATATTTTGACACGGAACTCCATTCGCCTGTATACATATGACAGGCGAGACAAGAGCTTTCGTCAGGTTAGAATTGTTAGTTTAATATTGTAGGATAGTTATTATAATTAATATGTACTGTTAGGTTATATAGCTAGGTTTATATTACATAAGGTTAGGAGTTAGGTATTTTAGGAATTAGAAATTATTTTGTAAACTGTTAATTGTTATATATTTGTAGTCGTTTGAATTTTGCAGATACACGTGTCTACTTGTAGCAACGTTAGTATTCTGTCCTTGTGCATAACTTTGTGATTGTTTAGTTAAGTGTTTTGACTTGTTTCTTTATTTCATCATAGAAACTTTTCTGTATCTTGATCAGTTTCTCATAGTTGAAAATGTCTGTTACCAATTTACGGTCAGCTACAGAGGGTGAACTGTGCACGTTGGAGGGTTTAGGCCCTGCGACGGCACAGAGAGTCTTGGAGATGAGAGGCGAGGGCGACCTCACCCTACAGAAACTGGTGTCTAGTTCGAGGATAGGCATGGCAAAGTGGCAGAAATGGCTA